TCCTCTGCTTAGTACTCGTATGGTGTATGCTATTTGTCTTTTGACAGTCAATGCTTGGAAGACACCTATGATCGAATACTAGTAACCTACAAATATCCTCTACTCTTACCGGTCATGCTTCACTGCAATAAAGTAGAACGAAACAAACTGCTACGCAGTAAACCTATCCTTACTGCGCAGCAGTTCGTTCCGTATGTCTCTTAACATAAGCTATATATAATACCAATTAGAAGCGGAATACATAACAGCAGAAGACTAAGAAAGTCGAGTTAAAGAAAACAAAAAATGAAAGAATGGAATTATGAATTTGAAGAACCATACCGACTGTAAAGGACAATTGATGAGAGAATTGTATGATTTTCATATTTTACGAAGATATTCTCTAATTTTGTATGAATTAATAAATTGGTTGTCCTTCAACTAAGTCTTCGTTCACTACATTACTTCTACACTTTCATATGATTCATTTTACTGTTTATAATTATTCACTGTCGAGCATAATTTTAAAACTAGAACTTTATCAATCAGAAAATTATTTAGCAATTGAATGATGTAATACAAACCAAATATTTATGCATGATTATCTCTAATTGTTAAATATCAGTTAAATATTTACTGTTGTTGCTAAGTATTTAGGGTTTTTATGGTTATTCCCTTAAAAAAAAACCCAACCAAATGTAACAGCAATGATTTAATTGTGTACTTCGCTTCACTACTATTATGTATTTAAAGCTAATAGGATATTATGTTTGTAAATATTTACATAAAAATAAACATACTAGGATTCAATTGCCACTTTGCAGAATGATATGCTCAACTTTGATACACGTCTTTATTGTGTGAGCGTTCATGTCACTACTACTCATCTATGAAAATTAAGCGGAACTTTGTTCTAACGTTTGACTTAGTGGCTAGAGACCAAGTGATTTTAAGTACTCTGAGGTTGATTCACTCATTTTACTAAGAAAATTTCCTTCAAAGGTTTTGATGTGTTGTGTCACAAACGCCAATATTTGAGTTTAACTAGGTAGATGGTTAATTTTACCCTTATACTTACATAGATTATGTTGAAACGGTTGTTCTCGGTCAGTTTACTGCTGGTTTCATTCCATAGTTCTAGGTCAATATTGTCTAAAAGATTGGGACTTCCAAACAGTTTATTGACTTTTATCGCTTTCGATACATTGCCCATCCAGTTTACTTTCTTATTCCCTTAGAACACTTGAAATTTCTCTCACAATATTTTTATTTATCACTGAGTATGGGGCAGTGTTCTATGTTACAGTAGTAGAGTTGGACAGATAAACGTTTTTCTTTATATCAGCGTCTAAGCTACTTCACAGGTTGTGCTAATCCAGTTTCTACTTTTGTTTGTCTTTTTCTTCGGAAGTACTTTAATAGTTAAGGATAGTTCTCAGACAAATTTATTATCTACATTTTCACAGTGTTTTATATTTGGCCATTTCTATTCGCATTTTATAAATTTTCCTATTTAAAAGAAGCATAATTTCATTATTCTTGTTATCTTCTGAATAATGTCAATAGATTTCCTAGATGTTGTAAAATGTCCCAGTAACTCATTGTTTGCATCAAATCTTTTGTTATGTTTAAAATGGAACCCGAATCATTGCTTTCATTTGGTTTAATTAAGAATTCATTATTCGTGTTATTATTTACTGTCTTTTAAACTATTAACTAAATTCATTTTGATGATGTCCTATAATGCACTTCTACATATCTTACATTCTACATGTTTTGATTAGTTTCATTCAATATTGAAAACATTATACAGTGATTTCTGAATTTCTAGTATATACGTCAACATTTTTTGTGATATTATGTGGAGAGTGGTAGACCTTGAATGGTGTATAGTAGCGATATGGGAGTATATTACTCCGAATTGTTCATAGTTGTTTAGATATGGTTTACTAATCTTCCTATTCTTCTCTCTCCATCATATCACAGCTTGTTAGGTGGTCTGAGCTAGTCAACAGGAAACCCTTTCCGAATTACATTTCGTGCTTGTGAGCACTCGTCAGCAAGATACATGAGTAATCTTGGGAGTACTGATGCTCCTTGTTGGATCAACACTTAAAGGACTAGTAAAACATGATAAAGGTCACTGCTCAGTAATAAATCTTTTGTGAATGTCATTCTTTCATAAAGTATATTTCCTGTGTGCATGAGGTTACACCACAATTGACACTATCATTTCAACTTCTGTGTCATTTAATTTTGATATTTTATTTTCTCACTGTAGTTTGTATGAACTATGAGGAATTCAGCCCGTTTGATTTCTGTAAAATAGGTTTATCGTTGTTTCTAGTTGTTTATGTCGTGAAAAGATATTTCTTGAGAACTTGGCACTTCAACGATCATTCAATAGGGTTTACATATTTAGTCTTGGTTCAAATGTTTTTAATGCGACCTCATAGTAATTGCTGTTACTCGAAAAGATAGATTATTATCGTATTTTCGAAGCACTATAACTAGTGTACTTTGGTTATATAATTCACAAAACCTATGCAGTCAAAGCTCTCTTAAATGAAACATGTAGACTGGTTTGCTTAACGAGTAGTGTCTTAGGTTTAGTAATCGTTTTTTGGAATTTAGATGATTAAGGGAAATTAATACCGTTTTACAGTGTTTTCAACCAAGTTACTGTACGTGTAGTTTTTTCAATCTGGATATAGTCGGTTACTTTATTTTTCAAATCATTTGCGTTAAATGATTTCGTTAAAGAAACTCACTTATTATCAGTGGGTGTTGCTGATGGTATCACCAGCGTGAGTTATAATGCGATTATCTTTAATATATCTCAGTAATTCAAATATGTCCATAGAGGACGATATTCTGCCTCTGTTCACTCCTATTTGGATTTATAAATTTATCGGCTGCTGTGGAGCATATATATATATATATATATATATATATATAACATCACATAGAACTTGTGTTATTTTAAGTGTTTCTAGTCTTTTAGTCAATCTAGAATGTAACTTTGTTATCATATGCCGAAGGTCTAAATTGTATGAAAGAAGTGACCTTAGAACTGCGAAAGTTATGACAGTTTAAAACTGTGTAATTGGAAAACGCCTGTACAATTCCCTCTCAATTAATAATGTTTTTATGATGAAGATTACTGCTCTATTACTAATAATTCTCATACTGTTCATTATCTTTCCCATATCATGGCTAATTTACTGTGTGTTTTTTATAGTTTAAACCAGTGTACTTAAAAATGTAAAATTACCTAGGTTATCGAAATAATAAGTCTTTACCTAATGACTTATGGAGAAAAGTACTCTTCTCATCCATATTACAATCATCACATACGAAATTTCAATGGAAAGACCCAATTTCAGTCACTACAACAATAATTTCCGGATTACGACTTTATTTTTTATTATCTAAGTTCGATTAAGTAAGTAATCGGTAAAATTGTGAGAATCAACCACATGAATCAATCAATTGTCTATTTCACTCAATACCTGTTTTACCTGTAAACACTAAACTTTAATATCTATCTAGATTTTCATTTCTTTCAACAAGTTAATCACATATTTTACACTACAACAGTATCCTATACTTTTCAAGTTATAATGACATTAAAACCACTTTTATACAACAGCAACTATATTATTATGCATAAACTTTGTTCATCATTTTAATAATATCGATAAATATCCTCTGTTTTCCTTTGTCGTTTTTTTTCAACCGGGTAAAAGGAAGATAAAGATTTGTCGCATTCGAAACACAACTTTTACATTCATAATCATTGGGTTATATGGAAGGCATGTAACGATACTATTACTGTCTAATTTCAATATGTTACACCGCTGTTGTATGTTTTTCTTCTTCTAAAAGTTAAACTGTTTACTTCACTTGTCAAATTATTTTATTAATTTGTAACATGACTAGTTGAAGTTGTTTATGGTAATTTAGTCTAATACGAACATACTGTTTACCTTCATTCAGTATATATATTATATACAACTGATGAGCGTTACCTACTTTGTTTATAAAAACTAGTGTACAAAACGGAACTATTCTTTTTGATTTTATTTATATACAAGTAAATAAATAAAACAGTCTACCAGAGAAGGTCAGAAACAGTATGTAACAGTTAAAAGGAAAGGAAACATCGATAAACTGAGGTCGCTCTCCTCATATGTTTTTTAAATTTCAGGTATTTATTAGTAAATAAATATGATAAAAGATCACAGACTAAAGAATAAGTTTAAATTTCATCATCCCATATATATATGAAGGCTTCTCATGTGTAGTAAGATCCTTTCCAACATTACAATGACTATAATTATAAGTTTAAAAATCTAAAAAAAGAAACCAATTAGTGAATTCATTTTTATTCTTTAAGTTTTATCATTTTTATCTTGTCCCTAAAATCACTGAGTTTACTACTTAAATGGTATGTTTAGTAGTATATATACGCAAACGATGATGTGTAATATGTTCAAAATAAAAACGAGAAATTATTTTTTTTTAAATGAATAAAACTTTGTTTCTTTTTGAATTCCATTTTATATTTATTTCATAATTGTCTATTGCTAATAGTATTCACAGTGTAATTTAACCGTAACCAAGAAAGAAACAAAAAATAGGACAATTGAAAAGTAACATGTCAAAAAAGAAATCTTCAGATTTAAGAAACTGAGTAAAATAAACAAACAAACAAAGATTATTGTAAATGGAATTATTGTTTTTGGTTTCGAACTGCGCTCTTTCTCTTCTTCTCTCTCTATCTCTCCCTTTTGTACGTGTTTCAACAGATAGAATGTGTAATAGAACATTTCCCAATAAATGCAAGATAACATTCAATTGTACAGATAAACATTTGTTCAGTGAACACTGTTTTGTATTATGCTAAAGTATTCCATTTGTTGTAATATTGACATATTGTTGAAAAAGAAAATCACAATTCTTGTAAATTAATTAAGTAGTAACCATTGGAAAACTTTATACTACTCTTAGTATTATTATTAATCAGTAGTGAATTTTGTTAATGTTTTTTTAAACCATGGAAATGATAACCATATAAAATGATTAAATTTAATTAATTGTTTACAACATGGTCCAGTCATATGTCCACCACCCATTGGTCTCATTACTTCACGATTACAGCATGATTTCACATATTGATAAAATGTTGGTTTAATAGTATAATTATTTAAAGCATAATTTATTGATTTTTTAATAATGAATAAATTATCTAATTTACCTGGTTGTTGATTCCATTTCATTATTGGTTGAATAGTTTTCATGATTGTTTCAATTGTATTATCATGTGTCATTGATAATTTCTTGAAGTTTTCCAATGAATCTATTCTTCGAAATGATGATGAGGATGATGATGATCTATGATATGGAACTGATTGGATAAGCATAATTAAACCACTAATATATGCCATAAATAATAATTGACTCATTGTCTGGTTCATCATTTTTCAATATAGACACTTATGATATGTTTGAGTTAATAGAAAAAAGGATAATGAATTTCAGTAAAGTGTCAATCTTCCGACAATAATAATAATAATGATATATATATATATATATTTTCTTGTTACCGTGGTGAATTAAGTGTCAGTTTTATATATCACTTTTCATAATATTTCCAGGTGGAATTTTCTCTGAACTGTTGTTATTGTACTCAAACTTATGCAGAAAAAAAGAAACCCGTTTCTTTTTGGTACACTTTTGTTACTTGTTTATTTAGATTAGTCAGTGAACATAATTAGTACATTTTTATAGGTTTGTATGACATAATATCATTAACCGTGGGTGTGTGAAAATAGCATATTTTCGTTTTCAAGGTCTAAGTTTTTAATTCACATATGATTGGTTACTTTTTGGTTGGTTCAAATATCATTTTATTGAAATTACGAACTGATATAAGTTAGACAACCATTGAAAACCTGGAAGTAGTAGACGGTCGTTTCGTTTTAGTATAGAAATCTTCAACAGTGTACATCTACGACCGATCAACCGGGTAGAGAAGAAACTCTCATCCAGTGCTTCCAGGTTTTCAATGTGTTTTTTTAACGTATATCGGTTTATCATTTCAATGAAATGCAGCAATTTCCATAACCCTATACTCATAGTGAAATATTATTTGCTTTGCTTAATAATTAGTCTGTTCATTAGACATCATAATTATATGATTTTATCATAAATTAAACTGAGAAGTACAACGAGCAGAATATTTCCCCAATTCTTATCCCGTTTAAGAGAAAAGATTTGTGTTACAGAAAATACTACTTAGTTGACTAATATTTGACAAGTAGTGTGACAGTCTCTTTGGTTGTTTAATGACATTGGCTCCTTCTACAAATGATCAATTATTTTTTTATTTGATAAATAGGTTATAATAACTATTATCTTGGCTGACCATTTTGTCATTTAGACGATAGTTCTCTGTTCTTAAATGTTTAGTTGATTCTATGCTTAAAATTACCAGTTTAGTTATTTCAATTCTTTCCATATTTTATCAGTCAATTATGTTAGTTTCATGACGGACAAGGTAGATAAAAGTATATGATTATTATTTGTTACAACACATGATATAGTTGTAGAGTCAAATTCTGAACAGAACATAAACAATATTTTCTTTTAAAGAAAAGTGTATAAATCTAAGAATGAAACGACTGGGACTAGAGATCTCTATATTATTCACTTAGTAAATTATGTAACAACCAAGTTTTGATAACAGTTTAGTTGTCAAGTGTGCTTTGGTAAATATAGAGATTATTTGATTATGATTCAAATATTACCATAATCCAGATTTTGTTTTAATTATCAGCATTATCTTAAATTCAAATGTTGATTCGTTTTAGGCGATTGTAATACTACGTCTAACCAATTTCTGCTCTAAGAACATAAAGACGTTGACGCTACCAGATGTAATTAGTACGTTTAGTTTATGCTACCATTGTATGACTGTAATATTTCGTTCATATTTGCTCCAGTTCATACAATAACAGAAAAAGGTGCATTTGGTTTTTGTTGTAGAGCTTGTTTTTGTCTCTTCAAATGATTCTATTCTTGTAATCTCTTATAGTCATAGTATTTTTTTTGATGAATTAACAGTCATTTATTGAATCATATATCTGGATTGAAGCTAACAATGAAATCCAGAGTATGCGTTTGATCATATTTCGGACTCATCAGCTAAATGTGTCTACAGTCCAATATTGATCACCATACTAAGATTTGCACCTACTGTAGTATTTCGTCCAAATGTAAACGCATTATCCACTGAATTCCTGAGTACATTTCGTCACTTAATCTTTAACCCAATTATATTATCAACTCGTAATAATTACAAAAATTCCACCTTTGGTATTTAAAATAACAGAAACAGTGACAAGATAAAAATAAGCCTTCACAAATGAACATTATTTTGAATAGCATATATCATTTGGCTATTACATTTATGTAGGTGGATAAATTAATTCATTTTCCGATAAAGTAAAATGTCTCATAATTAGCACATATTTACTCTATTTGGCATTTTATATTCATGATTCATCATAGTGTTAATACATTAGTAATTATTGTCTTGTTACCATTATCACTTGTGCGTAATATGTATATTATGTTGACAAGAAATACACTTGTTAAATGGATTATTCTAACCATATTTACTCTTTATCTATTTTGACTAAAATACCGGTAACTAGTTTGTATTCTTTTTGTTTTGAATAAATAAAATTATAATTTTATGGTTAATTTTATTTCTGTTTTAGATTACAGTTTCAGAGTGTACAACATCTAGCAATACTGGGTTAGTTTCACTGTCTTTACAATTGAAATTCTTTATGAGACTATAATTTATGGACGACCTTTGAGCGATGTTAAAGTGAACTTGAAAGTGTCTACCTACTTACTAGGGCTAAATGAAGGTTATAAAACAGTTTGAAGAATAAGGATTATGATTCATAGTTGATGGTTAGGGTTAGGAATTAGATGTACGGTTTTTTCATCACGAACTGATATCAGCTAAAATACCAAGACGTTATTTGGCCTAATGGGCATTATAAATCTGATTGGTTCGTCCATAAATTATAGTCTCGCCAAATTCTGTATTTTATATCACGAGCCCAGAACCTTTAGGGCTCGCTATGAGCGTGTAACTTTTAGACCATTGAGACGGCATCCAACGGATACTGTTTCTAATTCCAATCAATAAATTAGGTATGCATAACGCTAGATACCGGATCATTGGTCTGAATTTTAAAGGCTTACTAGTACACTTGAAGGTTCGATGGAGTCTTGAATTCACTCTTCTGAAGAGTTTTATACAAAGATAAAATGATTGTCTAATGATTCCTGATTTTCGGAAGTTTTCTAATTGAAATCATTCTGTCATGTAAACAATGAAACTTAACAATCTTCATAAATCCTCTACTGCCATTTGCAAATTCGTATTTACATAATCGAAAACCGAGAAGTTTATAATTCGTTAAATAATATTTCAATACTTGTTAATGATTATTTCCAAGATAGATATCTTGAAATTTTAACACGGTGTAAATTTGCTCAATGGATTCAGTCATTTAAAGCATATAGATAGATAGATGGCTACTAAGTACACCTTTTAATATTTACGCCAAATTAAGAATTTTCTTGGAATCACGAAATCTATATTAGTGAGTTCCTACTCATCGGTCATATGATAAAGTATTTGACTTGATCACTTCCAGTCTTCAGAATAAAACCAATTGAAGTTGTAGATTTGCCATACTAAGGTGTTTAAAACAAGGAAAATGAATTCTTATTCCTTTCCGATTATTAAATTGAATATGGTATTTTGTTCAAATCTAATAAGATGTTAGTGTTAGTTAATTAAGCAGGTCAAACTTCATATTCAGATGTAGCTCAGGTAAATGGTTTTGATGGAGTTATGTTTTCTGAGCTAGATGGTTTGATCGTGGAACTTTCATCGTTTTTCTGAACGACATCATCAGTACAAACTTCAGAATGAGCTATGAACCATATATGGAGAAATTCGAACACTTTACTTTTACCTGAAATTTGTGCTGATGATGTCGTTCAGAAGAACGATGAAAGCTCCACGACCAAACCATCCAGCTCAGAGAACAAAACTCCACCAAAATCATCCACCTGAGCTACAAATCTTCTCCACTTCACATTCTTCACCATTTTAAATCACACTATGTACCATTGATAAAGAAAGAAAACATATTAGATTCTCTTTTATTCCCAAATGTTTTCTATACTTATCTCGTTGCTTTTTTTAACTCATTTATTATTACTGGTGATAATTATCATTGAACATTGTTTCTCCTGTAAACTGTTAATTAATATTAATTGTATAACTCGTCAAATTATACATTGAAAATGTAGTGATAATTAATCGACTGACTGACACCTTGTTTAATTTTCTGAAGTAAAGTCATAATTCATTGTTGCTAATTATTCTTTCTATTAAATTTTACGTTGGTTTTCGATAGTCATTGATAGTCACTATAATTTGTGTGAAAAACCGTCTGATCTTATAATATTGGCTTATTAATCTACTATTAATAATATGTAATAATGGTTCTTTTCTTGTCTATCTATTGATGATAACTAACTATGAAGCACTGAATAATTGCTTCATATTTATTTACTTATTAGTTGTTGAAACACTGACACGTAGAAGCTCTAAAATATATATATATATCACACAATGCTGTTATCATTTAATTTGTGTTTGGGTTGGGATTCTCTCCAGGTACCCAAACCGAATCAGGTGTTGTTCTTGGGAGTTTACTCCGCAAGTCTTTGATATAAATCCTAACTTCAAAAGGCGCCAGAGCAACGTTAGGCGATGCGATCTTATGGAAGAAAGTGGTAACCAAGAGTAGGTTCATATTCCATTTAGTTCCTCAGGACCAGGACCTTGTAGCCCATGTTGAGCATTGGTTTTGGATTAGGGTTTTCCAACTCCTCTTGGTAATTGTTCCGTACCCACCAGCCCGATTCAAGCACTGAACATTCGCTTTTTGTCTTCTCAGTTTCGTAAAAAAGAACTGTGTTTGAGAAGGGTGTGAGTGGAACCTTCTTGGTAGTGGCTTTATATGCGTATCCATATGAAAGCATTTGTAGAGGGAGAGTGTTCTTTCCACACCCTCGAACATACCACGGCATTTTAGGGTCAAATGCCAACTCACACTTACCAATATCTTACATGATATTTATATTATTTAGTGAGTATAATACGATTCAGCCTATAAATTAGGATTTGATAGTCACCATTCCTAACTTCAGTTAGTATTTGTATTCCTGGCTGAAATCACTTCGCGATTTCAATCTTGATGATAACACGAGGAACATAGATTTAGTGCTTACTGTAGGTTACTTTTTAAAGTTTTAGATATTATTCTGATCTAATGGTCTAGATAATATTAAATATGTATAAGGGTTGGATGCCCAACAG